TTTTTTTCTTTTTTTCCAATGACTTTGAGTTTTGTTCCACATTGTTCTCCCACTCTATCCAAGATCTCCTACAGAGATCTCCCTCTGAGTGGTTGATGGTGGTAGCTGGGCACCATCTAGTTCTGTTCTCATAGTCGTATAGGCTGAGGATTGCACAGTCTACCAATCACTTGGACTAATTTTTTCCATGAATCTTTGGTTTTCTTCATTCTTCTTTGCCCTGGATGAGGAAAGACCCATTGTTGCATCTAGATGGCTGCTTGCAAGATTTTAAGATCCCAGTCACTACTCACCAAAATAGGAGGTGGGACGATGTTTTTGTGTAGTATGTTATGCCACTTGAGCTTGATGTCCCCTGCAACTATGGTCCCGAGCACACAAGTCCAACTACTCACTCCTTCTGGGTAGCTGGCTGTGGCCGAGAAGTGACTACAGCCTTGAAGAGGCAGTCTTTTTCAAGGTGGGCCTAGGGTGGACCCAGCCCTCTCAGAGGAAATGTTAATTAATTAGTCATTTGTCCACTAAGACCTCGAGTCAGGCTACTATAGAATGGTACCCAAATCTGACCAGAAGAGGATTTTTACCTAATCCTCAGTGGAAGCACCTCTGGTCTCTACCTACTAGATGCCAATAGTATCTCACCCCCAGTTACAACCAAATAGATCTCCAGACATTGCTGAACATCCTCTGGGGGAAAAGTGGAATAAAGAACATTGAAGATTTACTGAGCCTCTACTCGGCAGATACATTTCTCTTCAAGAACTAAGGACAATGGTGATCAAGACATTTTTTACTTCTAGGTCTGCACATTTCAGAATGGTAGCCATGAGGGACCACAGTCACAGGGGACATCAAGCTTAATTGGCATGACATACTACACAAAACATTGTTCCACATTCTACTTTGGTGAGTAGTGACTGGGATCTTAAAAGCTTGCAAGAGGCCATCTAGATGCAATGATGGGTCTCTTCTCATTCAGAGCAAAGAAGAATGAAGAAAAACAAAGATTCATGGAAACAATTAGTCCTAGTGACTGGTACACCACGTGATCCTCAGCCTATAAGACTATGAGACCAGAAGAACTAGATGGTGCCCAGCTACCACTGTCAACTACTTGGAGGGAGATCTCTGTAGGAGATCCTGGATAGAGAAGGAGAA